CGCTACTACTTGTCCCACGTGCACCCTCCGCGTCCCTTCAAGTACAAACCCGGCGACACGGTGCGCGCCTCCCTGCTCCGCCGGGAAGGGCTCGAGAAGGCCTACAGGGGCACTTACACGCCTCAGATTTACACCATCGTGTCGAGGCGCCACACGCGGCCGCACAGCTACAAGCTGAAAAATATTGTCGGAAACGTCCTCGACGGCGTCTTTTTTGAAGAAGAACTCATTTCTGCCAAAGACCGTCCCGACAGAACCTACAACGTGGAATCGACCGTGGCACGAAGAATTAACCCTTCCACAGGTAGAAAAGAAGTACAAGTCACGTGGCAAGGCTGGCCCAAGACACACCGCACGTGGATTTTAGAATCAGGCGTGAAGACGACGGGGCGGAGTCATGGGCGGGTTCCGACCTGATGGCCTACGACGGCTTCCAAAGTCGTTCTATCTGCCCCTCATTTCCGACAGCTCAAGCCTCATTTACTCTGATAACGCGCTGTCGCACTTCCGGGTCCAATTGGAAGAACCTCTGTACCTGGAAGGACACTGGGAATGCGGACTCGCCGAGGTCCAAGTGCCTCCGCCCAAGGCTCAAAAGTACACCGTCACCATGCCCTCAAGGGTTCGACCGTGGCCGCAACCGGCACAGCCGGTACAGCAACTGCGTGGCCTGTCGACAACCTTTGCGCCAATAATCCTGCCCTCTCCAGCCGCGTTAGTGCAACCCGGACCTACTGAGCAGCACCCCGAAAATAGTGCAAAAAAGGCAAAACAGGAAACAGTACCCGAAGCGGCAGCGCCGCCTCAGCCTCATCCGTTTCAGGTACCCTTACCTGTTCCCAGCAGTCTGACCGTCAGTACGTCAACGACAGACGAGACATCAACACCGCACCATGACGCTCATACCGCTCCAGCCACCCCCACCGAACCGAAGCAGGCTTTCGAGAAGAAGGAGAAAACAGCAGCTCGCCAGGGTGCCTCACAGCCGCACAGTGGGCGGAAAGACCACTTTTGACGGGAAAAAGTCGGGTTCCGCAACCCTTACGAGATTCCAATCAATGCACTTTCCTAGCTCAAAAAAGTGTGCCGAATCCAAATCTGCCTTTGATTTTATCATGCGCCTTTTTGTTTTTCTCATAGAAGGCTTGAAAGTCACATGTATCTATTCGCTAAGAAGAAACGCAACAAAAAGCGCATAAATTCGCTGCGTTTACTGAGTCAGTTTTAGATCTAATTTTACAACCCGGATGTTTTTAGAAGGAGCAATTCACGAGGATTCCAAAACTGTCCTCGGATTGTAGTTTCGAGTATATTTGACAAAACTACGGCCGTTTGAAATTTGCATGTCACAAAACACAAAATTCCAAAGTTCCCTTGGGCGGCATAAAAAGCCTCAAGTTGCCCCGCGCTCGCTCTAGGTTCATTTGGGGCCGCAAAGAGTGCTCTTTCGGTGGGAAAAAGAATTAGCTGCCCATAGCTGCCCTTCCGAAGTTTATGGCTCGATTTGTGTTAGCGTGCGTACGAAAAAACGGGTCCCGACGCATGTCAATCGCATAGGTCGTCTCAGGGCATGCCCCTCCCGCCTCCGGCCCCCTCCCTTTCCCCTCCCCCTCCCGTTCACTCTCAGTTCCCCCCTCCCCCTGCCCTCCCCCTCCCCTTGTACAATGATTTTTCAGTGTTGTCGACTCAAATATGGGTATATTCGAAATCGGGGCGACACAACTGGACCTATGACGCGTTCGGAGTCGATCATTGCTGTAGCTTGGCCTGTAACGTGTCGTTGCCTTGTATAAGAAGTAGAAGAAGTAACGCAATAAAAACTGTTGCCACAATAGGGGGCCTACGCTGTTGATTTAGTAAACTATGCAGTAAATTAATACTATCCGTCCATAGAAAAGTCAAAAAATGGCCAGATTTAGAATCAGGATGATGATGATGACCCCCTTAAACCTTGAAAAATTAAGGTCACCCACCTTGAATCACTGAATCTGCCCCTGCAAAGTTCGAAACATGGCTAGATTTACTCTGCAAACTGAAGTGTGTACATAGTACACTCTTATTAGAGCATGCTTCCAAGTACACTCTTATTTACAGCATACTTGCTAGGCACACGCAAAAATAGAGTGTGCCTGGCAAGTACACGCTAAATAAGTGTGTACCTTCCATGTACACGCTAAAATACACTTGATAAGTCCTATCTAAAAGCATGGGCCAGTTAAAGTGTACTTGCCAGGTACCTTATTTAGCGTGTACATGCAATGTACACTCTATGTAAGTGTGTACCTAGCAAGTATGCTGTAAATAAGAGTGTACTTGGAAGCATGCTCTTATAAGAGTGTACTTTGTACACACTTCAGTTTGCAGAGTAGGATCAGTGACCCTTGAAAACTGATATGGGAAGTTTTGACCCGGTATGCTCGAAAAATAAAATTTACCCCCCTTGTATCACTAGATCTTCCCCCGAAAAATTCAAGACATGGCCAGATTTAGAATCAGCGACCACTAAAACCTAGGGTACGGAGTTTAAGCGCGGATTGCTCTAAAATTAAAATCTCCCCCCTTTTATCCCCGGATCCGCCCCTGAAAAGTTCGAAAATGATCAGATTAGAATCAGCGCCCCCAAAAACATAAAATACGGATGAATGATGTTTTTCGGACAAGTAATTCAGTTGTAATGACTTTTTCCCGTCAAAAGTGGTCTTTCCGCCCACTGTGAGCCGGAAGAAGCGAAACCAGAAGAGGCGAAACAAGAACCGCCAGAACCTCCCCAAGCACCTGCGCCACCACCTGTAAAGCAGGACAGCACAGGGGTTTTAAAAATCCTCTTTTGGGGGGAATAAATCGATTTTTAAAAGTGTCGCAGGGGGCATTCTGGGGGGTGGAAACGAACTTAATACTCCAATACAATAAAATGACGTTTTAGATTTTTATATGACGCTGGAAGCCACTGGGAAGGGTTTGATTTTAGTCTTTGTATTTTGATCAAATTTACCTAATTTTCTAGATGTTCCCTACCCTTATCTTTTTCAATGAGGGCGATGGTACTGGTATGTTGGCGTGTTTTTCTTTTCGTTTCATCATTAATCAAAGGAAAGCAGCACACAGCGCAACATTTCGTTCGCGGTTTGGCTCACGGTGGCGGTTTTTGCTACAAATGCGTTCAACACATTAAAAAACACTCTTTGGAGTTTCGGACATCGATGGGGCCCGATGGGGCGGAGTTATTGGTGCGAGGCGCTTCCCTTACATGTATATTAAGATGCCCCGATGATAACTTTTCCGCACTTGTCCGCAACACGAAACGCAAGGGGACCAACACCACAAAAACGTGCCAAATTGATTAGTTTTGGAGATAATCGCTTCTGGTGTGCACCATTCAAAATGAAAAAAACATCATGCAATTGTTTTTCTGTTCAAATATTTTTGTTTTCTTAGTAACAAAATGGTTTAATGCGGCTTAGAAGTAAAACTAGTATTTTGAGCATTTCTTAGTTTTGCACTTTTTGTCAATTCTGTCATTTTCTTCTAATTTTGCTATTTTTCTCATTTTTTTAGCATTATAAATCCAATTTTATCGGACCACTTTTTCCTTTGAATGGTCTTTGCCTATTGCTACAGATGATTCAGTTCAATTCTGTAGCATTTGGTCGCACGGACGCTTGCTAGGACTTTTTCCCCCGAAAATCGCATTTTAAACCACTGTGGACAGCCTGTCAGTGGCGTCATTACTGAGCACGCCTCGTCATGCTTCCCTGTCGGAATGGGTGCAGCTCTTGCGCCCTGTTCACTCCGACGACCCCACCGACTTTCCCAACGTCTTTCACCTACCCGAAGCGTACGAAAATTGGGTCATTGAGGGCGACTCACCTAGCAGTATCGCTCTAACTGACGGAAGCAAGATTGAATTTGCGACTCGCTCTTTCGATCGGCTGACAGACTGGATCCAACATGTGTCATCGTACTTGTCGAACGAGCAGGCCGTGACCGCGTTTGTTGCCGATTTCACCGCGGCATGGGGAAAAGGGGGAAGGGCACGACGCGCCTTGATTGAGGACGGAACACGCATTTTCATTTACTGTGACGTCATTCAAGCCAGCCTTTGTTCCGATTTTCGAGGCAAGCTGCTCCGAATATTACCGTATGAAGGCGTCATTCGGTATCAAACCATGAATCCAGTGTATTATTATCCCGTCGATAAGCACGTCATTGACTGCATTCACGTGGAGCTCAAGACCAAATACAACGAGTACTTTCCCTTTACCGATCACGAGCAGCCCGTGGTCGTCGTGCTGCATTTTCGGTCGGTGTAATTCAGTCGGTGTTGAGGCGTCGAGCAGGCAGCATCATGGCCGCTACGAATCCGTACTATGCCTACTATGCGCAGCAAATAGGGAGCGGAGACTACTACAAATCTCACGTCACCGTACAACGCGGTCGCGGATGGCTTGGCAATCTTTTTCGAACCGCCTGGTCCGTGCTGCGGCCTATAGCGACGAGCGCGGTCAAGCACATGGGCGCCGAAGCTCTGCACACCGGCTCCAATATTGTGCGCGATGCCATGGAAAATCCAAGCACGCCCATCTCCGAAATCGCGAAATTACGCGGCAGGGAAGGGTTGAGGAACGTGGCGAGGCGTGCTCCTGACATACTGGCAGGGCGAGGCGGCCGGAAAACGCGCTTCAAGCGTCAGTCGTCGATCCGCGACCTATTTTCGCCCCCATCACCATGACCAAAGGAAATCTCATCCCCTGCATGATTCCTCAGCTCGATTTATTCAAGAAAAAACCAGTGCAAGCATGCATCACTGGACGTCATTTGGAGAAAGTAAAACCCCTGTCGGCACTGCCCGAAAAGCCAGACGTCATCGAGTTTCTGTCACCCGGACGGCCTTTGCATTATTTAGACATCAACAACCTGATTTTTCGAGTTGTTGTGTCATTAAAGCCATCACCCATCGATCCGCGATCTATTTTCACCCCCATCACCATGACCAAAGGAAATCTCATCCCCTGCATGATTCCTCAGCTCGATTTATTCAAGAAAAAACCAGTGCAAGCATGCATCACTGGACGTCATTTGGAGAAAGTAAAACCCCTGTCGGCACTGCCCGAAAAGCCAGACGTCATCGAGTTTCTGTCACCCGGACGGCCTTTGCATTATTTAGACATCAACAACCTGATTTTTCGAGTTGTTGTGTCATTAAAGCGAGAGGCAGGGGGAGACATGGCGGCAGCCACAAAAGATTATTCCGTGGTGGATGTGCCACTACACAGCATCACATCCCAATGTGAAATATTTCTGAGCGAGGAACCGGCAACAAAATGGCCGCATCTTTACAATTACAAGAGTGTCCTTGATATTTACACCACCGCCGGAAAGGATGCTCGTGAAGGACCCTTGTCCACCGTCATTGTCAAGCCCGACAAATCGGGGACGGACACGGGCGACGACAGCGCGTGGGCAGAACGTGAAGCTATATTCAACGCTTCACAGAAAGTGGAACTCATGGGAAGACTCCGTGCTGACATTTGCAACCTGCAGGACGGTGCGTTCGTGTTGGACAACGTGCCCCTCCGTGTAAAAATGACCCTTGCTCCACAATCCTTTTATTTGTGGTCCAAAGATGCGAATCACACCGATGTAAAAATGGCGTTCCATGACGCCGAGCTGTACGTGCCTTATTTCGTCGGCAACGCAGAGATGGCCATCGGCATCGATATGGCGCTCACGCAGCAACCGGCCACCTATCATTATAAATCCTCTCAACTGAAAGTTTTTGTGCATCCAATTCAAACTCCCAATCTGACCATTCCTGTGGCATTCAGCGGCAAACTTCCATCCACAGTGATGTTTGCCATGGTCGACGCCGCCAACTACAACGGCAATGTCAGCGCCAATCCCTACGATTTTGTTCACTCCGGGCTGCAAGAGCTCACATTCCTCTGCAACGGCACAGAACGGCGATTTTTGATGAACATGGACCTGGCCCAAGGGTGCTCTACGGTTGTGCATAGCATGTACGCCGACTTGGGACACGACTTGGAGGAGGCCGGTGGACATTTGTTTAATGTCGAATCGCTGAAAAATGGCAAATTCGTGTGCGCGGTCGACCTGACGATTGACCATAGTGGAAGAATGATTCAGAATTTGGATCGGTTCGGCAACATCGGCATTCAGGGACGATTCAAAACGGCGCCCACTCGCGCGCTGTGCGTCATTCTGTACGCCCAGTACGATTCCACGATGGAAATCAGTTCGTCTCGGCAGGTCAGCGTGTATTGACCATGAGGCACTTCACATCGGCCCTGTCTACCACAGACATCTTGGAAGTGGCCCATGTACACCCCGTTCTGCAGCGCTATCATGAGGGCACCTTTCCCCTCGATGCTCTGCCTAAATTACGCATCACGGGCAAACGACCGCGCCATATTGTATATAATACGTCTCCCTCAACGAAACCTCCGGGCACCCACTGGATATCTATTTGGTTATCCGCCGACACGACGGCTGAAGTGATGGACAGTCTGGGAGGGCGCATGTTGCAGCCCGAGGTCCTTGAATTTTTACGACGAAATGCAAGTCGTACTGTACATAATGTAAAACGCATACAGAATTTAGCAAGTAATGCATGCGGGCTGTATTGTCTCAGCCATGGTCTGGCCAGAGCTAGAAAGCAAACACTAAAAGCATGGCTGTCTCAATTTTCTGAGTGTACTCTAAAGAACGATCAGTTAATGCACTGCGAGTTTATGCGAGAGATGGCGCTGCCGGCGCTCTTCACGCCGCGATTGCGCAACTGGAAGGACGCTGTAGCACGCGCGTGCCGCGCAGTCCAGTGCACGGACGCCAGTCGTGCCGAAGAGCCCCAACAAACAGCATGGATCAAGCGCAAGCGACACCCTTTGAAGTCCCGCTGGACATAGCGATGCAGTGCTTCAACGATGCCAACGACGCGAAAATGCTGGAGCGCTACATTGCAGAACTGGAGCGAAAACAGGACGCGCATCAGCAGCAACAGCCGCAGCACACTCCAGCCTCTTCCCTCGCCCAAGGTCATTATTATTACATTAATCGGCTCCATTAAATCATGAAAATTGTTCAGTTATTCGGGGTTGAAGGGACGCTCATCGTGATGTTATTGGTTGCAGTGATCGTTCCAGAACGAGCTAGAACGCCTGCACCGCGACGGGCGCGGCAAGCAGTGAGAAAGCCCCGACTGGCGAAGACAAGAAAAAACGCTCCGAAAACCGCGTCTTGCTCCACATCGATGCTTGCGCCGCCATCCGAACAGCACCGCCAGATGTGCAGCTTGCCCCAACATTTGTGCCTTCTCTTAAAAATGACAGCGTTTCATGCCTGTCTTCAATCCCATACCATGGCCGTCATGCATGCCTTTAGATATAAATAATTAGGTTTAAGATGTATTTAATGTAAGTTGGGTGTTGATAAATGACAAAAAAAAATAATAAAACGCTTGTAAATAGCCAATGTTGTGCGTCATTCATTTACCCAATCGGCAAACTCGTTTCATTTCATCGCCGCCAGACCGCGGTCCCTCGCACACCTCGGGGAACATTCACAAATTAAGAAAGGGCGATTTAGGGCGTTTTTGACCCCCCTGTACCCCAATGTAAGGCCAAGTAAGGTTTTCAAGACCCCCCCAACCCCCATTTACGTAAGGTTTTCGCCAAAAAAGAATCCCCATAAAACCCTTATAACGGTTTTTCTCTGTTTTTTACGTGTTTTGTGCATAAGACGAGATAAGTCAGCGGTTTTGGAGGCAGAAATCAATCAGATTTCTGATTTAAGATGACACTGCTTTTATGACAAAAGCATGGGTTCATGACTAAAACTCAATAAAAGGGCATTTGGCCACAATAAAATCAATTCAAACATAGCATAACAAAAGAAATTCCCACTTTTAACTTATTTCAGCGCGTTTCAGAAACCTTACATAAGGCTTGCTTTAGACCCCCAACACCCCCACATAAGACCCTAGTAACGATTGGCCGACCCCCCCACCCCATCGAGGCCCTTGCGTAATTTGTTAATGTTCCCTCGCGGATGACCCCCTCACACACGCGTCGAAACCTGCAGCATCTTCGACCCGCGCTCCGATCGGGTCCCGCACGGCACCCTTTTGTCCCTCCGACAGACGGACGACCCGTCCCTCCCCCACCCCCCTCCCCTCACACGCGGGCGCGACGCGCACCTGGTCCGCGCGCCCCCTCTTTGCCCCCTACCCCTCCCTCTCCCCTCCTCCCTCCCTCTCCCCCTCCCCTCCCTCCTCCTCACCCTTCACTTTGGATGCGTCCATGGGCTAGGTTAGGTTAGGTTCACTTTGGAGCGACCTTTCACTTTTGGAGTTACGCCCCTTTCACTTTTCGAGTGACCTCTCACTTGGGCTAGGTTAGGTTAGGTTCACTTTGGATTGACCTTTCACTTTTGGAGTTACGCCCCTTTCACTTTTGGAGTTAGGCCCCTTTCACTTTTGAAGTTACGCCCCTTTCACTTTTGGAGTTAGGCCCCTTTCACTTTTGAAGTTACGCCCCTTTCACTTTTCGAGTGACCTCTCACTTGGGCTAGGCTAGGTCAGGTTCACATTGGAGCGACCTGGGCTAGGTTAGGCTACGACACCCTGGTGCCAGCTTCGGGCGCGGTGGCAGATTCTGGCAGGCGTGTGGCAGATTCTGGCACGGTGGCAGTTTCTGGCAGCACACCGCCTCACTGTTCTCAAACCGGCTTTTTACATCACACACGGGCCTTGATGCGTTCCGCCCCAACAGCTTCTTGGTTCGGCGCGTGTTCGTGCCTCCCCTCCTTCACTACGATGTTATATTGGTCCGTTGTGGTGACTGCCGTGGCTCGACACTCTCCTTTTCGGATACAGGACCAGTACGTGCTGTTCTTGTACTTGTCTCTTTTATAGTATATATGCCCGTTCAACAGTAATTTTGCTCCCCCTGACCCGGACGTAATAATTTCAGGACCCGACATGTCCACAGTCCACACCAACAATGAATGCGCCACTCTCGAAAACCAGCGCTGGCAACAATGCTGCCAACCTTGAAAGTAAAATTTCTCGCTAAATATTTTTTTTAATTATTTTTTTTTTTTTTTTTTTTGTTTTGTTTTCTAATGTTTTGAACATTTTTGCTTTGAAAAAATTGCTTTGGAATTTTTTAAATTTTGATAGAAAAGAAATTGGAAATTTTTTTTTGGGAAAAAAGGTTTGGGAAAAACGGTCGGGAACGTTTCAACAAGCGCAGCCCTTAAACCATGAACATTTGCTGGATCAACCTGAAGCGAATTTAATTGGCTGAGCGATAGCGAAGCCTGTTACTCCAGTGCGGTTGAAAAGTTTTGTCTGTCTGTCTGTCTGTCTGTGTGTGTGTGTACACTACTCCTCCTGAACGGCTCGGCCGATTTGGCTGAGATTTTGCAGGCTTATTAGATATGTTCTTGGCTCGGCACACGCGAGATTTCACCATCCTAGCTCAACTGGTTCCGTTTTAATAGCCGAAAAACACCTAAAAAACGGCGGAAAATCAAGTTTTTTGCGGGCAGATCGCCTTTGTCATGAAGGAAGGAGGGGTCTGGGGGGCGGAGCCCCCCAGCCCCGACAAGTTAAAAAGTTCCAAGGGTCAAGATCATGTTATCTTTAGATGAAGATACTCTATCTATGATGAAGGGGGGTCTGGGGGCGGAGCCCCCCAGCATGCAAAAAGTAACCGCCGACGGACAAGCCAATGCCTGCCGAAGGCAGGCTAACGCCGCAGGCCAAGGTAGGTACGCCAGGCGCGGATTGGAGGAACAGGCCGCGAGACATCGCGAAGCCTGTTACGACAAGACGTGGTCTGGCGTAAACCTACCTTGTGGTTAATTTAACTGTGCATTTGTATGTAATGTGATGTTTCACCGTATTTAATCCAAATGAATTGATTACTGGTTCAGAAAGTGTGTTTCTGACGGTCGTTGTTGGTGTTGATGTTGAGGGGTGTGTCAAGGCTAGAACAGAAAGAAGCCTGTTGGGTAGGCAACACATCGTGCAGCATGGTGTGTGCCGCGATACACCCTGACGTATGGGCTTTTAGTTTACGTGGCGATCAGACACACGTGTAACTTGGCATTGTTTCAATTTGTTTGGAAAGTAGTTCTGACAGGGTAGTAGTCAGTTATTTATAAGCCAACAACATTTTGAAAGGCACAAGAAATATTTCGGTGCATTTCATTTAGAAGTAAATTTGTATTACATAGAACTTTTTTTATAACATTTAGTATATCACATTATATCACATCACAAAATTTGAACGAGTTTACAGTAGGAGACAAGGTAGGTTTACGCCAGACCGCGTCTTGTCGTAACAGGCTTCGCGATGTCTCGCGGCCTGTTCCTTCAATCCGCGCCTGGCGTACCTACCTTGGCCTGCGGCGCTAGCCTGCCTTCGGCAGGCATTGGCTTGTCCATCCTCGGTTACTTCTTCCGTGTTGCATGCTGGGGGGCTCCGCCCCCCAGACCCCCCTTAATTCTAGAGAGTTGCTTCATCGGCAGATAACACGACCATGACCCTTGTCACTTTTTGACTTGTCGGGGCTGGGGGGCGGAGCCCCCCAGACCCCCCTTTCTTCAAGACAGAGGTGATCTACCTGCAGAAAACTCGATTTTTCGCCGTTTTTTAGGTGTTTTTCGGCTATAAAATCTGAACCAGTTGAGCTAGGATGGTGAAATTTCGCGTGTGCCGAGCCAAGGACATACCTAATAAGCCTGCAAAATCTCAGCCGGATCGGTCGAGCCGTTCAGGAGGAGTAGTGTACACACACAGACACACAGACAGACAGACAGACAGACAGACAGAAAAAACTTTTCAACCCCACTGGAGTAACAGGCTTCGCTATCGCTCAGCCAATAAATGTTTTAATACATAATTGGCTGAGCGATAGAGAAGCCTGTTATTGGCTGAGCGATAGCGAAGCCTGTTACTCCAGTAATTTTTCCTGTCTGTCTGTCTGTCTGTGTGTGTGTACACTACCCCTCCTGAACGGTTCGGCCGATCTGGCTGAAATTTTGCAGGCTTATTAGGTATGTCCTTGGCTCGGCACACGCGAAATTTCATCATCCTGGCTTAACTGGTTTGGTTTTTATAGCCAAAAAAACTAAAAAAAAAACGGCGCAAAATCGAATTTTCTGTACACACTTTACTTCTTACGGACACATCTTATCTGTATTACGGACATTTTTGTGCAATTGCAATTACGGATAGATTTTGCTTGTAATACGGATGAAATCATCCGTATTACAAAGAGTTTTACGTCCGTAACATACAGACGAAAATATCCGTGTGGTACGGACGTAAAACTCTTTGTAATACGGATGATTTCATCCCTATTACAAGCAAAATCTATCCGTAATTGCAATTGCACAAAAATGTTCGCAATACAGATAGGATGTATCCGTAAGAAGTTTAGTGTGAAGGCAAATCGCCTCTGTCTCGAAGAAAGGGGGGTCTGGGGGGCCCAGCCAGGACAAGTGAAAAACCTCCAAGGGTCAAGATCGCTTTATCTGCAGATGAAGCAACTCTATCTAGAATAAAGGGGGGTGTGGGGGGTGGAGCCCCCCAGCACGCAACAAGTTAGGAAAATCGACGATGGAGAAGCCATTGCCTGCCGAAGGCAGCCTAGCGCTGCAGGTCAAGGTAGGTACGCCAGGCGCGGATTGGAGAAACAGGCAGCGAGACATCGCGAAGCCTGTTACGACAAGACGCGGTCTGGCGTAAACCTACCTTGTAGACGAGTCTCGATTAATTGGTGCTCTGAAGAGAGAGTACATTGCCTCTTTGTTGCAGTGAAATTGAAGCTGCGTGTCACTTGTTTTAACCATTTTTTTGGATGTTCAGCATTTTCACTGTTCCATCAAATGGCATGTATTCATCTCCATGCCAAGTATAGGTTCTAAAAATAATTGGTTCTTATGGCTGAACTGTTATAAATTGTGCAAAATGTACAGTGTGTCTTTTCTACATTGTGTAATAAATACAAAGAAATGTACTTTGTCTGAATTTTCTTCCTTTTATGCCATTTATGTTAATTTGCCAGTGGGGAAGGGTCTTCAGAGTAAGAATGAAAGTTTAAGACAGACCTAATCATTCGGTCCAATGTTTTATTCACAAGGTAGGTTCACGCCAGACCGCGTCTTGTAACAGGCTTCGCGATGTGTCGCTGCCTGTTTCTTCAATCCGCGCCTGGCGTACCTACCTTGGCCTGCGGCGCTAGGCTGCCTTCGGCAGACAATGCTTGTCCATCATCAGTTACTTCAGAACTGTAGCATGCTGGGGGCCCCCAGACCCCCTTCATTCTAGATAGAGGTGCTCCATCTACAAATTCCACG